CTTTTTTAATTTACACTGCTTGAAAGTGATTCTTTTTTAAGCAATTATTACAAGTTTTTCCAAATGCTGGACACTTTTCCTTTTTCATTTTTCGTGTTCATGTCCACAATACGAACACTTTTTTTATCTTCTTTAACATGTGCGTATCAGCGAATATTTGTTAAAGTGGGTTGACTTTTTATGATGGTTGTATGTCTGTATTAGTTCTTGTTGCTGCATAAAGTCAATACATGTATTTAAAGACATATTTCCTATTTATAATTGTTCCATTATTTTATATCGGTTGTGACGCATTGGACATACCTTTAAATTAGTCTTAATTGAATCAAGTCCTCTTCAATAGTCTGTTAGATCTTGTCCAAGTTTTTCAAATTCACAATATCTACTTGCATTTAACTAGATGGTGTAAATATTTTATAATTGGTTAAGTCAATTTCTTGTTTCATCGACATGAATTTTGTTCTTTCTGCCACTACCAGCCTTTTCTTGGGTCTCATATTTCTTCTTATAATCTGACTTATTTTTCGAAAGTCAGGTCTTCCAAATTTAAGGGATATGCCATGGTGAAGACTTTCATTACCGCCTCGCATCCAGCTGTAGCCAAAAATAAATCCATGATTTCATTTTCGCCTTCCTTTTCCTTGTTGTCTTTCAACTTTTTTGTTCTCGCAGTGGCAGAGAAACAACGAATCCATGTATCCACGAAATTTGGATCTTCCAGAGACAATTGATATCCTATCGGCGACGCCATTGATGTGGAGTAGAGGTTAGCACTAATTAGCCACTAGACTCGTACTACTACCTCGTTATTCCCAGTGACCACTTATATGAGTGTTCGCTTATGCAAATTATGCATACTAATTTGCTAGTATCACTACAGTAAATTATAATCTTATACTGGGATGTTACAAATGGTAATTGGTACTGTTAAAGATGAAGCCATATAACAGAAAAGAAATAAACCTCTCTTTTTTCCCCATGAAGGACAAACATTTTTTTAATGTTAAAATGGTTTCAATCAGTAATGCCAAATTTGAGACCTCAGTATGAAGTGGTTTTGATGAATATATAAACAGTTCCTACTTATATAAAGTATTATTACTAAATAATCTTGCAGGTACTTATGGTTTACTGGTGGTCAGTGTTACCTAAAATTTGTTTGTTTTTATAAATGAATTAGCAGTTCACTCTTCAAGTGCTGTAGAGAAACTTATTTATTTTAAAATATTAGAATGCATCTAATCTCCCACTAGTTTTCATTCTTTTATTTGGTTTTTAACATTACAATTAGCTTTTTTTTTTTTTTTTTTTTTAATATTAGAATTAACTTATGTGATAATGAGATTTAGTGGTGATTGCTTACTTATAATAATTGTTTCTAAGAGTAAATTATAAATATGATTGGTTATAAATTTTTGTTTGGATATTCTTCAAAGAATCCAGATACAAATAAATGCAAATTCTATCAATCAGCTTAATGAGTCATATAACTAAGTTTATAATTAGAATTTTACTGAAGAGGGCAGTAGGGTTTTGTTCAAGACAACAAGAAATGGCCATCTTTATTATCAGAATGCTCTTAGAGTGAGCAGTACAAATACAAGAGACCTATACGTATTGTTTCATAGATTATACAAAAGCATTTGGTAAAGTATGATATAAAAACTAATTAACAACTAGGAAAACTTTATTTGAAAAGATAGAATAATCCATAAGATTTACTGAGAACAAACTGCCTTCCCTTCATATGGATAGGAAATGAGTTGAGGAAGGATACAAAAATAGGAGTAAAACAAGAATGTGTTTTATCACCAGATTCATTTAACATATACAGTGTGACAAAAGTTGTTTAAGACAAGCAAGAGGCAGGAATCTGCAGAGAGCCATGATCACCTATGTCCTGAAGGGATACAGCACCTAAAGAACCTCCAGCCTTTTTCAGGCTTTTATTGTAGTTGGTAACCTTTCAAAAACTTTGAACTGAACTCTTTACTTAAGTACCTCCACGAAATCGCTAAAAAAAGAGCATAGCTTGATGAAAAAGACGCCAAACTTGCCGAAAACTAAATTTTATTGTCTAAATGCTTGTTATTATTAAGAGGAAAGACCAAAGATTTTTTTTAATTTTTTAAAATTTTCCTTCTTTAGAACATTCTAAATTTTGATTAAAAAACCTTTTTCTATTTGTATCAAGGAACTAGTAAATAACATAGACAATTTTTTAGCATGTTTTTTTGGTGACACACATTAATTTGAAAAATCGTGCAAAAATAGAAATAATTATCGGATGTTAATGAAACTTTCAGGAACTATTCACCGATGATCGAAATTATTATAAATATGCTTTTTTTTTTATTAAAGTCATGGTAGAAATATTTTTTTAAATATTTATTACCCCCCATAACTAATTTTATGAAAACGCTAGAAATTGATCGCATCGGTTTTAGTGATTACAATAATTAAAAGCACAGGGCTTTGAGGAATGCAAATCATGTTTTTTTTTTTTTTTTTTTTTTTTTTTTAATTTTTTTGATACGCAGTACCTGAAAATCAGCTCTGAATTGTAACATACAAAACTCAATAAAACAAAGATATTATTTAATTTCAAATGCTTTTATTTGCTTCTAGTTGTTTTTATGAATATGGACAATATTTTCTGAAAGCAAAAAAATTTTTTCAATGAAAAATGAATTTTAATACAATTATTTGTTATTTCATTAATTATAATAGATTTTACATTTAAGTTGTTAAAATATTATAAAATTAGTTAAAAGTCATCAGCTTTCATAAGTGTCCTTATGAGATAGATCTTTTTTTTTTTAAAAAATTGTATCATTTTGACTAATCAGAAGATACCCAGTAATTAAGAAATGTAATTTTGTGCTTATAATTGAGCTGTAATTATAAAATACGGAAGACCAACCAGAATATAATTAAGTTGCGTTATTTGAGTTGAGCATTGTTCTCCGCTGTTAAGGCCTTTACTTTTTTGAAAACACGTGTGGAGAAGTTAATTTGATTTTCAATTTCAACTGAGAAGGGTACCTACAAGTATCAGTATCATCTTATGAAATTTATATGATCTTATTTTTTTATATTAATCTCAGTTATGACATTTTTAAATAAATGAAATATCAAAATTAATAATAAAATGAATGCAAATACAAATAACAGTAGAATGTAATAAATGTACATAAAATTATAGTATTTTATGTACAATTCTGATAAAATTTCATAAGAAAGGTACCTATAAATTAATTAGATACCTTTCTTAAAAATATGAAATTTAATGTCACTCTTAACAGTTTTATTTTAATTTCTTTAGAATATATTTCCCATAAAGCATCATAAACGTAAAGGTGAAAGCTAAGTACAAAAAAAAAAAAATTAGACCGCTGAAAGTTTTTGTTAAAAATAACGGGTAAATAATTTGTTCACGTAAATGTAAATTATTTCACTTTTCTCCTTCCAGAGAACAAATTAGCCTCATGGAATTAAATAAATATATCATTCATCACATGTCAAGAGACAGCAAAGTTTATGACCTGCTTTGTTTTATTTTCAAATTACATCTTTTTGGCACAAAAGCTAAGTTAAGTTTGGTTCAAAATATTTTAAATAAACATTATAATTTCTGATTTTCTTAAAATAAGTTTTGAAAAAATGATAATTGATATTTAAAAAAAAAAAAAAAGTCAGATTTCCAGTTTTTTTTAAATGGAAAAAAAAAAAATCAATTTTGCTGACTCAAAAAAACTAGATTTTTAACGAAAATTTTGGACGTGCTAGGAACGATTAAAAAATGGAAAAAAAATACCCCAAAAATACTTTGACCTTTCCTCTTAATAATGACAAACATTTAGACGATAAAATTTTGTTTTCGTCAAGTTTGGCGTCTTTTTCATCATGCTATGCTCTTTTTTTAGCGATCTCGTGGAGGTACCTATCTTTACTTAATTCCCAAGTAGTAGTGTTCTTCCACAGTCCATTATTGAGGATATCTTGTATCATTCAATTCTTTCTAGCTATTTAACCCTTGTTATATTGCTTGTTTAATCCACTGAACCAGAATACATGACATTTTTGCACTGCCCAAACCATGGATCCAACACACAGCTGCCAGTTAACTTGATTTACTTAACTAATGCTTTTATCATTGTCTTTTAGATGGAAACATGTAGCCTTCAACTTAAAGTTGCTTATCTGGTTCTTCAAATGAAATAGAGTATATGACCATAACATTACGTTTAGTGAAATTAGATGATGGAATGTTTGAGTATTTTGCTTTGTATTCTTTTTTTTTTTCTTCTAATTACTTGGTGGTTTTGAGTTCAATTCCTGGGTAAAATTATGCAAAAAGTCATATACTCTGATTCAGTAAAAGAAAGTGACATTTCAAGGATGAATTTGAGAACAATATATCCTTGAGTATTGAATAAAGGGTTTGATTCAAAATTATCAGATTATCAACTATGCCAGAAAGAACAGCACCCAAAATAGAATGATAACAGACAAAATGAGGACACTAGTCTGATCCAGTAGTAACAGTATTTTTAATATTATTTGCTGTTTATGGCCATTTATTCTTAAGTTTTCTCCACTATATTTAAGATGTGATTTCTGATGCAAGACACTTAATTTAGAATTCAGTGATATTCAGCATTGCTCAGGGATAAATAGCTTCAAATATAACAACCTAGAAAAAATGTTAATTTTTACACAGCTAATAAAAAAAAAACTTTATTTACAGTATTTACTCATGAAAATGTAGCTGTGACACTAAACCTCCAGGGAGATTGATAAAAAGGCTTTCCTTTAAAAATACCTAAACAATACCTAAATTACACTAATTCTTTAAATAACTTTTTGAATTATTTCTCTTATGTATGTAACAAATGATTGAAAGTGTTTTTTTTTTTTTTTTTTTTTTTTCATTTATCAACATTAATGTAATTTTATTTTTGTTTTTAATTTTCTTTTTTAAAATTTTTCTCTTTCAGATTATTGGTTCCTGTACAGACATTGGTTGAAGAAGAAGGTCCTGGCATATTTTCTCTTCGGGACGACAAAGGCCATACTCCTTCACATTGGGCATGTCTTGGAGGTCATACCACAATTCTTCGTTTCATCATTGAGTGCAAAGGATCTATAAATGAGCCCAGTCGAAACGAACCCGGCGCTCGTCCGATTCATTGGGCTTGTGTAAATGGGCACATTGCCATTGTAGATATCCTTGTGCAGGCTGGAGTACCGCTTGATGTAATGGACAATAAGGGATGCACACCCTTGACAGTGGCAGCACAGTATGGCCAGACTATGTTGGCTGCCTATTTGATGGGAAAAGGAGCACAAAAGCAACTAGTAGATAAAGATGGGGATAATGCTTTACATTGGGCAGCATTTAAGGGTAAGAAATTTCTTTTATTTTTTATTAAGCACTCACTTATATTTGTTTTAAAAAATTCTATGGTATTTTTCTTTTTAGAAAGATAGCAAAAATGTTTTATTCCTGTTTAAAAGCTTGTAAGATGGAGTAAATTTCATGCTATTTGATATGCTTATATAAAACAAAAAGTATTTGAATTGACAAATTTTGCAAATGCTGTGAAGTTTTGATAGGTAACTCCACAAAATCGCTAAAAAAAAAAAAGCATAGTCTGATGAAAAAGACACTAAACTTTATGAAAACAAAATTTTATCGTCTAAATGTTTATGTTATTATGAAGAGGAAAGACCAAAGTTTTTTAATTATTTTTAAAAATTTTTCCTTTTTAGAACATTCTAAATTTTGATTTTAAAAAAAAAACCTTGTTTCTCTTTGTGCCAACCGGAACTAGTAAAATAACAGACAATTTTTAGCACGTTTTTTTGGTATGACACATTAATTTGGAAAATCTTGCAAAAATATAAATAATTGTCGGATGTTAATGAAACTTTCAGGAACTATTCACAGATGATCGAAATTATTATCAATAAGTTTTTTTTTTTTTTTTTTTTTTTAAGTCATGCCAGAAATATTATTTGTTTATATTTATTAACACCCCCATAACTAATTTTATGAAAAACTCTAGAAATTATCACATCGGGTTTAGTGATTACAATAGTTAAAAGCACAAGGCTTTGAAGAATGCAAATCATGTTTTTTTTTAATTGGATCCACAGTACCTGAAAATCAGCTGTGAATTGTAACATACAAAACGCAATAAAACAAAGATATTTAATTTCAAATACTTTTATTTGTATTTAGTTGTTTTTATGAATATGGACAATATTTTCTGAAAGCAAAAAATTTTTTCAATGAAATTGAATTTTTAATATTATTATAAGTGTCCTTATGAGATAGATCATAATTAAGAAATGTAATTTTGTGTTTATAATCGGGCGGTAATTATAAAGTACGGAAGACCAACCAGAATACAATTAAGTTGCGTTATTTGAGTTCAGCATTGTTCTCTGCTGTTAAGGCCTTTACTTTTGTGAAACACGTGTGGAGAAGTTGATTTTTCAATTTCAACTGAGAAGGGTACTTCCAAGTATCAGTATCATCTTATGAAATTTAACTACTGCTGCTAAACTTTAATTTATATGATCTTATTTTTATATTAATCTCAGTTATGACATTTTTCCATAAATGAGATATCAAAATTAATAATAAAATGAATACAAATAACACAGTAAAATGTAATAAATGTACATAAAATTATAGTATTTTATGTACACTTATAAAATTTCATAAGAAAGGTACCTATAAATTAATTAGATACCTTTCTTGTGAAATATAATCTCACTCTTAACAGTCTTATTTTTTAATTTCTTTATAATATATTTTCCATAAAGCATTGTAAATGTAAAGATGAAAGCTAAGTACAAAAAAAAAATTGAAAAATTAGAGCGCTGAAAGTTTTCCTCAAAAGTAACGAGGTAAATAATTTGTTCACTTAAATCTAAATAATTTCACTTCCTTCCATCCGTAGAAAGAATTATCCTCCCATAAGTTATCTAAACGTCATGAAAATGTCTTTCGTCACCTGTCAAGTGACGCAAAATTATAATAAATGTTTTTTTTTTTTTATTAAAGTCATGGCAGAAATATTTTCATAACCTTTCGTGTTACTTGACAGGTGACGCAAAAGGTTATGACCTGCTTTGTTTTATTTTCAAATTACATTTTTTTGGCACAGAAGCTAAGTTAAGCTTGGTTCAAAATATTTTAAATAAACATAATTCCTGATTTTATTAAAATAAGCTTTGAAAAAAGGATAATTGATTTCTAAAAGAATGTCAGTGAGATTTTCATTTTTTTTATAAAATGGAAAAAAATGTTTGAAAATGATGGATTATCTGTCCTTTTTTTTTTTTTTTTTTTTTTTTTTTTTTTTTTGACAAAAAAAAAAAAAGATTTTTAACACAAATTTCGGATGTGCTAGGAACGGTTAAAAAATACCCCAAAAATACTTTGATCTTTCCTCTTTAATAATATGAACATTAGTCGATAAAATTTTGTTTTCATCAAGTTTGGTGTCTTTTTCATCATGCTATGCTCTTTTTGTTTACATTTCGTGTTTTGAGTAAAAATAGTTAAAAGGAATGGTAAAATTCAATTATTGGCTGAAATCTTTTAACACGTTGCCACAATTTGTTTGGAAACTATTTACAAATCTTGTATATTGTTATTTACACTATTTTCATGTGGACTATTGTCTTCATCTTTGTTATTGCAAGGTTTCACCTGTTGTGTCTTCTGGCCTTCATCAAGTGTATGTCTATCAGAGTAATCTACAGCGAATTCCAAATTAAACCTTTTATTTAATTTACAGGGTAGATTGTTCTTGTCTAGTTATTGTTCATGCTGTTTCTACTTAGTTCAAGTACAGAGATTGAACTCACAATTACTATAATCACCAAATTCACAGACAAACACTTTAATCCACTATGCTATGGTTCTGTGGATAACTTGGAACCTTAAACCTAACTTGCCTGCTGCTTGTCATACTTAACTGGACTCACTAAAGACTCTTTTGTTACAGCTGCTGGTGCTTCTCCTGCTGTTGAAAACATGCTGTCATTTTTCTTTCTTTCTTTATTAGCAGCTTCCATATAGTATTTATTTTTATGCTAGACCTACTAAGTTTGTCATTCTAGCCCAGCATATGTGCTGTTTCTTTTAGAGGTTTAACTTTCCAGTGTTCTTCCTCGTCCAGTATTTTCACTTCATTCTGCAGGAACTACCCTTTTTGCTTCCATAAATGACCAGCTATGCCTGATTCCATTGTCTAACTCCTCATTATGGTTTTTTGATATTCTTTCAACCTTACTTTTAGTGGGTAGCTTGTTTCACCTTTATATTCTTTGCCACAGCTGCAAGGAGTAGAGTACATGGTCATGTTCTAGTCTTTACACAACAGAAATGTCTCCATAGAGTAGAGCTGCTATTGTTCTGATGTATTGACTGCAGACCTAAATTTTTCTAAAAAGCCTTTGACATAAGCAAGACTGTGGCAATTTTCTCCTTCTTGACCCTTCTGTTTCCATTTGCAGACACTGCTGTTATGTTTGCAGGGTAGTTATTCTGAAGGGTATACTTGATGTTGATAATTTCCCATCGGCATTTGGGTCACTTGTGATTTTTGCATGGTGTTATAACTGGCCATTTAATAATGACTTTCAAGGACCTACCTGGTAGGGAGAGTACTTCCAGAGATTCCATAGCTGGAGAGTTTATGTAGCAGACCCTGATGCCACACTTTGTCAAAGGCCTTTGATATATCTAGGGCAATGGTCCTTGTGATGAATTTGTCTAGTGCCTTCCTGATTCTGTGAGTAATGACAGTTAAGGCATCGGCTGTGGATCTAGAAGATGAAATCCATACTGGTTATCACTCAGCATGTTGTTCCTATTGTGGTGTTCAACAACCTTCTAGTTGATTATAGATTCAAAGAGCTTGCTGATGACACTAATGTGGGTTGATATTGTGACAGGCATGAGCACTCACTTGCATTGTTAAAAATAGGACATGAAGTTGACAGTTCCATAGACATGAAACATCTCTCCTTCAGGCAGCAGCAGTTGAACAGTTTTGGCAGTGTATAGTTTTTTTGTTTGTTTTTTTTTTTCTTTTTAAAAAAAAGATATACAAGTGATTTACAAGATATACAAGAAAATTAAATTGGATTGAAATCATTATTTTCTTGTCAGTAAAATGTATAAATGCATGCATATTTACAGATCTGTCAACACAAAATTATTCTCTTTTTTTAAAAATATCTTTTAGTTGACTGTATTCATCTGTGAACATCTTTGTCTTTGGGGGACTTTAATGCTCACCATGACATATGGCTTAAACATTCTAATAGTACTGATATTGCAGTATTCAGACATAACATTTTTCCATTGCTCAATCCCTTACTTAAATTGGGAACTTTCCTACTTGTTTCCCTAGTAAAACTGAACAGGCTTCTCGACTTATTTTTTAACCTCCTCTCCTTCCTCTTGCTGAGCTTCGCAATTTTCTTCTTGATTTTCTTCTTGATTTTCTTCTTGATTTTCTTCTTGATTTTCTTCTTGATTTTCTTCTTGATTTTCTTCTTGATTTTCTTCTTGATTTTCTTCTTGATTTTCTTCTTGATTTTCTTCTTGATTTTCTTCTTGATTTTCTTCTTGATTTTCTTCTTGATTTTCTTCTTGATTTTCTTCTTGATTTTCTTAAATCCAGCCTCTCATTAGTAAGGCTGATCATTCTGACAAGGTCAAAATGATAGCTGATGTCCAAAACCACCTCAAGTCCATTGTCAAAAGATGACTTATTAATTTTAATGCCTCCAAAACTAAACTTCTCTGATACTAAACTTGTTGTGCCTTCTCGGGCTCATGTTCTCTGCTGATATGAAGTGGAAAGACTATATATTGAATCCATTTTTTTTTTTAGATCAGCTGCTAAGAAAGTTGGTTCACTGTGTTGTGCAAGACAATTTTTATCTCAAGAATCTATCTTACATATCTATATCTACCATTCGTCCATGCTTAGAATATTGCTGCCACATATGATCCAGTGCCCCTGCTATTTACCTTGAGTTCCTTGATAAGATCCAAAGAAGAATCGGCTTGCCTCTCTGTGTCTTTTCTGTAAATACTTTCATGGTAATTGTTTACACGAGCTCTTCACTATGGTACCTAGACTTTTTGAATTTAAGCTTCAAGATCTCATCAATTTGCAGTTGGGCTGGGTAGATGTAACCATGCTAACAGTTTAATTTTTCACACTTCTCATTTGTGGAATTCTCTTCTGGCTCCATGCTTTCCAGCCAACTTTAATCTGCTAAAATTTAAATGCAATGTCAATTGCTATCTACTTTGCTCCTAATTACTTTTTTCACTCATTATTAATGTTTCTGTTCCTAATTATTCCA